TTATTATTATTATTATTATTATTATTATTATTATTATTATTATTATTTGTAATATAGTAGTGTAGTATATGTGGGGATCTGAGTAGCACGGCCTTTTGGAATTGACAAATGGAAATTTTATTAATGTGCAGTCCATTTTTTTGATGTAGCACCAGCATACCGATAACCACTGGGAGCATCATAGACAGTTTATGACATAATCTTTCAACTTCAATTTTCAGATCTTGATACTTTATGAATTTCTCCAATTCTTTACCTGCTATCTACTGTCCCTTGGTATTGTCATATCAAACATCTGCATTTTCTTTCTTTTTAATCACTGCTATATCTGATGTATCACAGTGGTTAGAGTGCAGTACTGCAGGCTACTTCTGCTGACTGCTGGTTTTCTGCAATTTGGCAGTTCAGATCTCACCAGGCTCAAGGTTGACTCAGCCTTCCATCCTACCGAGGTCAGTAAAATGAGGACCTAGATTGTTGTGGGCAATATGCTGACTCTTAAACTGCTTAGACAGAGCTGTAAAACACTGTGAAGTGGTATATAAGTCTAAATGTTATTGCTATTATTGGTACATGATTATTTTTTCAGATATTACAGTGAATCATAATTGTGTTATTATTAATATTTAAATTGTACAATCTTCTTTCCCAAGCTGAAAATGTAATATGTATATTGTCAATACTGGACTACTGTCATAAAATTACCTTTTAACAGTGACTAAAACAGGGCAGTTGTAAAATGAGGTTTATCTGTAGAGGGAACCTCATTTCTCAGGTCCTAAGAACCTAGATCTTGTGGATTCAACAGTGCATATCAAGAAAAAAAAAGAATATATGATGAAGCAGTTTAGAGAAATAAAACAAAGAGAATCAGTGATCAAATTTAGAGACAATTAGAAAGAATTTTGCTTGAGAATGTAGAGTTCTAACAGATGAAGAGACAGTGTCCACACTACAAGGGAACAGATAGAAAAAATTAGCTTATAAGATATCAGAATAGCTGATCTGTGGGTGATCTCTGCGAGGGCCTACTGCTAAAACAACAAAATTTCAAACTTAAAATATTCTCTAAGTACTATTTTTCTATATTAAGTATCAAATAAGGCTTAACTGTACCAAGAGCTTTGAGCAAGGAAAATCTACCTGAAATTAAATAATCAAAAAAAGATGGGTAAGTGATGATTTTAGGAAGTAAATAGTGATTGAAAAAAGAAGAGTGAACAGCAGGTCTCTACGTGAAGTAAATTAATTCATGCTGGAGTTTTATACTCCTGGAGAAATTAAATTGGCCACTTCTTAATCAGCAGCACTGCTCCAGGTCCGTCAGTTCTTTGGCTTTGATGACTCCATTCTTATTTAAAACTTTTTTAAATGTAAAAGTACCACTATTATTTTTTAATGCTTCTATTTTTAAATGTTTCTATTTTTTTTCTTTCAGCCATTTTCTGTATTTTAGATCTATGTATTTTTTCTAAATGAAATAAGAGCCAAGCCAACAAAAATCCAAGAGCCATGCTGTCAAATCTTAATATTTAGATTTATAACAGTTCCAGGGGTGTCCTGATGTATACATAAAAAGATGGAACTTCAGTCATATGGCTCTGGTCAACATCTTGACCTTTTCCCCCTCCCATTCTGGAGAAATTTCTCAACAATTTATTTAGTCAATATTTTAGGATGTATAATATGATTTGAGTGTGATTAAATATACATAATAACATATAAGTTAATTATATAACTTAGCCAGGACTAAAAAGACGTTTTAAAACAATTAAAAGGACTTTTATTGGGTTTATAAAACATTTTAGATAGATAGCTTGCAGAGTTGACATCATTCAGAGGACACATTTGTGTGAGAAATACTTTATGTAAATACTAAGCCACCTTTGGTGATTTTTTTTTTTTTGCGAAATAATAGAGCAGCTTTCTCTGTAATCAAATTGGAATATAGAAAATGTATTATTCTGATGAGGGTTTTTTAGATGAGTTACTTGGGCTGGAATGAAGACTTGGAGTAAAAAGGACTCTGAAACTGGGGAAGAAATTAATTCTTGACTTTAGAGTTAATTAAATCAAAACCTTTGTATGATCCAGAAGTAATGTTGTATATTTCTAGAACAGAGGTGGCAAAGAGTAATTCCAATTGGAATCAACATGCCCACAAATACCACTCTTGATAGTTGGTGCCACATTTGGCTTCTACAAAGTATTTTTAAATTAACAATAATTTAATTATGCTGATATAGTGCAAAGTAAAATGCCAGCCCGTAGCAATATGAAATTTCTTCTCAAGAATTCTATAACTATTAAACTCAGGGACATTAAAAAAAATAATGAATGGCTACAGCCCAATGTTTTCTTTAGAATTTTTTTGTCTGAAGAAATATTATCTACCCATTGCATATGGCTAGATTCCTGAATTTGGGGCATAGATCAAGTAGGCACAATCTGCATTAAATGTGTGCAGGCTAATTTAAAATGTGTATAAACATCTATAAACAATTATACCAGCTGATTTACGTTTCACAGACAGTAAATTATGACTAACCCTTTCTCATGAAAATCTCATAATAGGGTTATGAGGAAATGGGAAAAAATAACCTCTTACTGCAAAGAGTGAAAGTAATGTTAGGTTTTGCTTCTGCCATTAATCCTTTCACACAGATGCCTGCAAAAAAAAAAAAAAAAAGTCCCTGGATCAAGGAATAGCTAAATTGTCCTTGAGCAAGGCTAAATCTATGCATTAATTTAACTTAATTTAAATTTAAGTTTCAGTGGCAATGGTTTCCACCTCCAGCCTTCTAGCATTCATTGGCACATCAGACAAAAAACAGTTGAAAAGAAAGCCCAGGGTTAATTTCCTGCTGAGACTCAAGGAATAACCAATAGTCTTATGGGTGATAGAGATTACAGAGCAAAATCCAAAATTCAATAATAAACATGGCATAACTATTGCATTTATATTGCTATTCCAGATCAATTGATGATTTGAAAAATCCTAGTTACTATTAGCAGCCTGGAATTCAACCATGATAGGCAATTCAGAAGAATCTCCAAACTGATAAAGTCAATATACTGAAATTCCCAAAGAATATTGAAATCAATGATGAGTTTCTTATTTTCCACAAGTGACATCAATTTTTATTGTTTTAATTAGCATTATGATACACAGGTACTAAGACCTGTACTAAGTTTGGTGGGATAAAAAAAAAGATGGAGCTACAAAAGTCCATGGTGCAATAATGCCGTTTCATTCTGTGGTCTCAATTCATTCAGCATTATTGTTCCACATCTAACTAAATCCAGATTTATGGCTACATTGCCAAAAGTGAAAAATATTATTACAAGCTATATGGAGCCTTGGGGATAAATCATAATCTTTTGGAAACATTGCTAGTCTTGGGACCCAGAAAGCCAAAACAAAGACAAAGATGATCATGCAGAATTTCAGTTTGGGGTTATATAATATAATAAGTTTTCTATCAATAAACCCAGCTACACTTAGCTAACTTTCTAAAATTACTATATCTTTAGATACTATTTATATTCCTTAAAATCTGCTAATAAAAAGGCAAATCTACTGAAATGTTAACATTATATTTGTGAATCCACCTGTGATTAAATAACATGAAATATGTTCCCTGGAAAGTATCTGGGGATTTGAGTTATTGGGTTTAATGAATCAAGAAACAATCTGTATTACTATTTTTCCAGATGATCATTTATATTTTTGTTGTTCTGATATGCACTCAGATATAGGAAGTGCTTGGTCAAGAACAGTTGCATGTCATAATAATTACTTGCCTAGGAGGCAAAAGGAAGCACCAGATGGGGAAAACTGACATGATTAATTCCACTAATATTGCTCCATAATTCACACATATTTCAAAAGCATAGGAAATCTCCTTAGGAATATTTTTATTCATTTTATTCATGAAATGGGCTGATTAACTTGCATAGCAATAACTAATGATTATTTTTCAAGCCGTTTCATGGTGACCATTCTGCTTATAAATCTTTTTGATCCATTCACCCACTATCTTATGTCCAGGTTCATCCTGTATTCTCTTCTTATAGATTCCATTTCACATCTAACATAGAATGGTGATCATGCTGTTTCTTATCTCTTTTTTTGTGTTTTTTTGTTTCCTATTCTAGGTTTCTTCTCTTAGTATGTTTCTTGATCCTTCAGCATAAAATTGGACTTTGGAACCTCTTGGTGATAGGAGAACACAAACCTGATGGCCTTTATTGAATAATCTAATTTCTGCCTTTCCATAAATTTGGTATAAATTGACAGAGAGTTATTGACAAGTATACAACATATGACCAAACATTTTTTTAGCATTATGGATCTTTAAAAGTTTTTGTAGTTTTCAAGTATGATCGATGGCTTTACTGCTCATATTTATAATGCCATAATGTATTCAGATCAAATTGATTTCTACACTTTGCAATATTCATATTTTCATCAGTAGTATTTGCTTTGTAGACTAACATAGTTTGACTTACTGACCTCAGTTCTTAGCTTAGCTGCTTTATCCTGTAAGAGCAATGTCTGGGAAGCAAGATTACAACTTCCTCTTCTTCCATCTGGAATTAATATATTTGAAGCAAATAAACTAGGCATAGAATATGATAGTCCAGGCAAACAAGTTGAACATATTGTTATTTGGGCCACATATTTTATAAAGCTGTCCTTCTTGAATAAAATGTAGCCCAGGAATATTGCAATCGTATTATTTATATCTTAGTCTTTAGATTCTGTTTTTTTCTAGCAGTAGCAATAGGAATAGCACTTAGACTTATAAACTGCTTTACAGTGCTTTACATCCCCCTCGAAGCAGTTTACAAAGACAGCATTTTGCCCCCAACAATTTGGGTCCTCATTTTACCCACCTTGGAAGGATGGAAGGCTGAGTCAACCTTGAGCCTGGTGAGATTTAAACTGCCAAATGCAGACAGCTGGCAATCAGCAGAAGTAGCCTGCAGTACTGCACTCTAACCACTACGCCACCGTGGATTTCTATAAATCAGGGTCATTCCTTATAATTGTGTTATCTTTGAAATGAATATCTGATAATAATGAAATTTTCATGAAGTTTTCAAGCATGTGTCATGCTGGCATAACCATTGTTTGCCGTGTTAGTATTGGCAAGGATGTTCCATTACCTCTGCAGAAAGAGCTGCTACCTTTGGCTCCACCTGTAGTACTTAGGGCAGATTTCAGGAGAAAGGAAGGGATTTTTTTGACTACCTTTGCTGAATGAGAAGACAGATCCTTTTGGCCATCTTCAGCTATTTCACAGACAGACAGAATTTCCTAGAAACAGCTGGCTTTCTGGACTGCTTTCTGGACAGTTGTTAAAAACATTAATAAAAACTGTACATTTAAGAATGGGTTCCTTCCAAAGGTGCTTTTTCAAGAGGAAACTGGACCTTCTGGTTTTTCTTTGAAGAGGCTTTGCTTCTCACCCAAGAAGCTTCTTTAGAGATGAAGAAGCTTCTTGGATGAGAAGTGACACATCTTCAAAGGAAAAAATAGAAAGTCCAGTTGTCTCTTGAAAAAACACCTTTGGGACAACCATGAGCTGGATGACTAAGAATCTTCGTGGACAATGGGTTCCTTCCTTCCTTCCTTCCTTCCTTCCTTCCTTCCTTCCTTCCTTCCTTCCTTCCT